AGAACATACAATGAGGTAAAGATAGTCTATTCAATAAATGGTATTGGGAACATTGTATAGATACCTGCAAAAAATGACACTAGATGACCTTTTTACGCAATACAGAAGAATAACTAAATATGGATTGAAGATTTAAATGTAAGACTCATAAAAAATCATAGAATAAAACATAGGCAGTAAAATCTCGGACACTTTTTTATAGTAATATTTATTTCTGCTATATCACCTGGACAAGGGAAACAAATGGGACTATCTCAAACTAAAAGGTTTTTGTACAGCAAAGAAAACCATCAACAAAATGAAAAGACAACCCACTGAATGGGAGATATATTCACCAATGATACATCTGATAATGGGTTAATATCCAAAATTTATAAAGAATTTATAAAACTCAACATCAAAAAACACCAAACAATCCAATTAAAAAATGAGCAAATGATCTGAATAGACACTTTTCCAAAGAGAACATACAGATGGTCAATAGACATATGAACATATGCTCAACATCACTAATTATCAGAGAACTGCAAATTAAAGTCACAATGAGATATCACCTTTTACCTTTCAGAATGGCTAATATCAATAAATCAAGAAACAACAAGTGTTGGCTAGGATGTGGAGAAAAGAAAACCTTTGTGCACTGTTGTTGGGAATGCAGATTGGTACAACCACTGTGGAATGCAGTATGGACTTTCCTCAAAAAATTAAACATGGAACTGCCTTATGACCCAGCAATTCCACTTCTTGGACTATATCCAAAGAAACTGACTTGAAAAAATATATGCACCCCTATGTTCATTGCAGTGTTATTTACAATAGCCAAGATTTGGAAGCAGCCCAAGTACCCCTTAGTAGATGAGTGAATAAAAAAGCTGTGGTACATTTACACAATGGAATACTATTCAGCCATAAAAAAGAAGGAAATCTTACCTTTTGTGACAGCAAGGATGGACCTAGAGAGTATTATGCTCATTGAAATAAGCCAGTCACAGAAAAACAAATATCATATGATTTCACTTATGTGTGGAATCTAATGAACAAAATAAGCAAACAAAATAGAAACAGACTTATAGATACAGAGAACAGACTGATAGCTGTTAGAAGAAAGGCAGATTGAGTGGCTGGGTGAAAAGGGTGAAGGGATTAAGCAAAATCAAAACAACTCATAAACATAGACCGAAGTAAGGTTTTTAAAAGAGAAAAAAGGGCTGGGGGAAGGTAGGAGAGGGTAAAGGGGGAATAAATGTTGATGGAAGGAGGTTTGACTTTGGGTGGTGAACACACAATACAATATACAGATGATGTTTTGTGGAATTGTACACCTGAAACCTATATAATTTTATTAACCAATGTCATCCCAATAAATTCAATAAAAAGGTAAAAAAAAAAATAGTAAAAAGACAGGGATGTCTGCTGCTATCACTATTAATGATTGTTGACTTTGAGTTCTAGTTAATAAATAAGAAAATAAGACTTTCATTATTTGTGATTTAAAGATTATCCACCAGAAAAATCCAGGAAAAATCATCTACAAAATGAGAGCAACTAAGGGACTTTAATAAAGTCATCTGTTCGAAAAATAAATATTAAAATTAATACATTAAAAATATGATCTTAAAAAGTTAATTCTATATCTTCAAATAGATACAAAAGAATTATAAAAAGGAAGACACTGATTAAGAAGAGTAGAGATAAAAATGATTTGTTTAATTAAAAATATGATAGCCAAAATAAGAATTCAATACAACTTTATAGGTTTGAGAAATTGTCTTAGAAAGGGAACAAAAATTCAGAGATGGAAAAAGGAAAGATGAGAAATTTTGATGATCAACCCAGTGAAATATCTGATTATAAGGAATTCCAGTGAAAAAGAGCAGGCAGAGGGAAGAACTTATTACACACATAATTAAAGAACATTTCACTGAATTGAATGGCTGAACAAAAGCTCATAATTTATTCAGACTTCCTTTCTTTTATCTAATGGACTTTTTTCTTTTCTGGAACACCCCATTACATTTAGGCATCATGGCTTCTTAGTCTCCTCATAGCTGTGACAGTTGCTCAGACTTTGTTTCTGATGATCTTACTGGTTTTGAGGTCGGTATTTTGAAAAATGCCCATCTGTTGGGATTTGTCTGATGTTTTTCTGATAACTAGATGAAGCTATGGATTTGGGGGAGGAAGATCACAGAGGGCAAGTGCCACTTTCATCACATCAAATGAAAGGTACATGCTCTCATGACTTACCCCTGTTGATGTTGACTTCTCTCACCTGGCTGAGGCAGTGTTTCTCAAGTTTCTCCACTATGAAGGTTACTCTTCCCCACCCCCTTTCCCTACTATATTCTTTGGAAGTAAGTCATCATGTGCTGCCCAAACTTAAGGAATGCAGTTATACTGCACTTCAAGAGCCGAGTATCTATATAAATCTGTTGTATAAATACCTAGGAGCGCAATTGCTGGATCAGGTGGTAAGATATGTTTAACTGTGTAGGAAAACTTCCCAGCTTTTTCCAAAGTAGCTGTAACATTTTACACTCCCATCAGCAATGAATGAAAGTTCTGGTTGCTCTGAATCCTCACCAGAAATTGGTATTGTCAGGTTTTTTGGATTTTAACCCTTCTAACAGGTGTATAGTGGTATCTCATTGTTGTCCTTGCTGATCTTTTTAAGTTACATGAATTTAACAAATCTATGCCTGGTAATTCAGGAATATCTCCAGATCTTTTTCTCTTGTCTGATGTTTGTACCAATTCTTGTTCATGTATTGTTTTGTTTTGTTTTTTTTAATGTTTTCATTGATTTTTTTAGACAGAAAGGAAGGGAGAGAAATAGAAACATTGATGCGAGAGAGAGAAACATCAATCAGCTGACTCCTGCATGCCCCCTACTGGGGATCTAGCCCGCAACCCATGCATGTGCCCTGACCAGGAATTGAACTAGGACCTCTTAGTTCATGGGAAGATGCTCAATCCAGAGCCACACTGGCTGGGTGTCTTTTTTTTTTTTTTTTTTTTTTTTAAGTTTATTGATTTTTCGAGAGAGGAAGGGAAAGAGACCGAGAAACATCTATGTGAGAGTGCAACATCAACTGGCTGCCTCCTGCATGCCTCCCACTGGAGATCGAGCCTGCAGCCCAGGCATGTGCCCTTGACCAGGAATCTATCCAGCAACCTCCTGGTACACAGGATGACACCCAACCAACTGAGCCACACCAACCAGGACCATATACTGTCTTTTAGCATGCCTGATTATATTTGATTACATGATGGACATTGTATTTGAAAAAATAATTGTAGAGTATGTAGAATGTCATTTTGTTTGTTCCTCCAGAGATTTTCATTTGCTGCTGCCTGGTGCCTGAGGGTACAACTAATCCAGAACTACCCTATTCTAATTCCAGAGTCAGAGATTTTCTAGCCCACCCTGTTAAGTTAAGCAGAGTTGCTTTCCTTACAGTTCATCTCACTCCTAGGATATATCCCTAAGGTCACAATTCTAAGTGTAGGGTGGTGTGCCAGACTCCCCTCCCGTTCTCCAGATTTTGAGGCCGTTTGTAACAGCACTGTTCAGCTTCTCAGCCACCTTTTCCAAATCATCAAATTTTCCCTGGGCAAAAGCAGCTCCAATTTTGGGGCATGGCAGTGCGAGTTTCTCTTCTCCCAAATCTTAGCTTGGCAATTTCTCACTACCTGATCAGGAATTGAACCAGCAACCTTTCGATGCATGGGCTGACGCTCAACCGAGCCATACTGAGGGAGGCCAGGGGTGAATGCGTGTCTTTTTGAATTAGTGTTTTGGGTTTCTTTGGATAATTACCCAGAGTGAAATTGCTGGGTCCATTCTTTGTCTCTTGTTGTACAGCCTTTGTTTTAAAGACTATTTTGTCTGGTGTAAGTATTGCTAACTTGGCTGTTTTTGTTTGTTTCCATTTTCATGAACTATCTTTTTTCATCCCTTTACTTTCAGTCTGTGTGTCTTTCGATCTGAAGTGAGTCTCTTGTAGACAGCTTATGTATGGGTCTTGTTTTCTTATCCATCCAGCCACCATATGTCTTTTGATTGAAGTATTTAGTCTATTTACATGTAAACTAATTATTGATAGATACGTGTCCAGAGACCTAAAACACTAATTTAAAAAGACACATGCATTCCTATGTTCATTATTTACAATAGCCAAGGTTTGGAAGCTACCTAAGTGTCCATCAATAGAAGAGTGGATAAAGAAGTAGTGCATATACACAATGTAATATGACTCAGTCATAAAAAAATAGTAAAGAAATCTTGCCATCTGCAACAACATAGAGGGTATTGTGCTTAGTGAAATAAGTCAGAGAAAGACAAATATCATATGGTTTCACTTATATGTGGAAGCTTAAAAAAAAACCAAAATAAACAGAAATAAACTCATAGATACAGAGAACAAATTGATGGTTGCCAGATGGGAGAGGGGTTCAGGGGATGGGTGAAAAAGATAAAGGGATTAAAAGTAAAAATTGATAGTTGCAATATAGTCATGGGGATGTAAAGTATAGCGGAGGGAATATAGTAAATAATAACTATGTAATACTATGTATGGTGTCAGATGGGTACTAGATTTACTGGGGTGATTACTTCATAAGATTTATAAATGTTTGATCATTATGTTGTACACCTGAAACTAATGTAATATAGTATGTAAACTATAATTGAAAAATAAAAATTATTAAAAAATAAATTCGATTAAATAAAAAGAAGCTTCAAGGTTATTAGTCATTGAGCCACTGATCTGAAAATGTATACCACTTCTTGGGCCAGGACCACAATACATACCACAGAATACTCCATAATCTCTTATACGAAGAAAATTTTATTACTGAAAAGATCACGTAAAACAACATTTTTTGTATACAAAGTTGACAAATGTGGAACAGTTAGTATTTACAACATTTTCCATACAGTACATGATAATTTTCTTTAACAGAATGCTAAACAGAGAAAAAAACAAAAGCATCAGAAAACCTGTTCAAGGAATACTTTGTTGGAACCAAAATTAAGACAATTCTTTAGTATTTTAAAGTATGCTAGATCAAAGACATTTTATCAGGACTACATTTTTTACAGTTGATTGGCACTAATACTGCTAACACACTTTTTAATGTTCAGCAAAATCCTATTTAGCTGCAGAAGTGAATTCTACATAATATCTGAGGGGGAAAAAATGCACAAAGACAAAGAACTTGTAGGATTCTAAATGTTAAAAGACAAAAGTTAAAACAAAAGTGTAAGCAACTGTAAATGGTTATAATACAATCTTGGGTGGTCATGAAACATTAAAAAAAAGAAAATCAATTGCACTTGACTTAATTTATAAAAGAGTAAAATTTCATGGACTAACCCTTCAGGACAGTTTATTTTTAAAATGCAGAAAAATCAGCAAGCAACACAATAAAATCAACATGAGATACCCTTTGAAAAAGCACCTTATTTCAGCTGTGCAGCAGAGCTGTGAAATTCCTAAAATGATGAGACATAATTATTCACACACTGAAGATGATAAGGTGGAGGAAGTGGACTTTTTAGTTGAATTCCTATCATAACACCTTATGGTGTGCCCACTATTTTTTTATACTACAAAAGAATACTATTTTTCAATTTTCTTAGAAATTCAGTGTAAAAGCTACCAAAGTCATGTGAAAATAAGATACCAGGATAAAATAATAAAATATTTGAGTAGATTGTCCAGGACTTCTAAAAAAAGTTCAAATACATATAAACTTATTTTCAAATGTATAAAAAAAGAGATGAGGATAAGTTTTAAATACTTCAGCAAAGAAAAATCTCGATTTTATATCATAAAAGTGAAATAGCATTGTGCACCTTAAAATACTTTTAACAAGAGTAGAATCTTCATAAATAAAAAAAAAGGAAGATTCCTCTAACTCCCTCCTCCCACACAATTTTAAAAATATTATTAACCTGCACATTTCTGTTTTTCAGGTATATCGTTGTCATTAACCTCTCTGCGAAATGAATCATACTATTCTCAGCACCTCTTGTTTCCAGTGTAACAGCAGGCAATGTAGTTAAGTACAGAAGAAGAATGTAACAGTGGTTCTTACAAGACAGTGTACTGGTCACCTCAGTGTAACATAAATCCGCCTCTGAGTAACTGGATGACCTGGTTTTCAAGTATCTGAGTGACTGCCGGCGCCCTGCTCTTTTCCAACTCCCGAGGCCGAGTGGACGAGCAGTGATGTGGAGCCTTTCAGGCTGCTTGGCTCCGAAGGACTGGGGACCTGCAGGCTGTTGCTCTGCACCAGGCCAGTTTCAGTAGCATCGCTTTTTGGAGTCGCCCTAGGTGAAGAACAGAAGTTGACATACATATATACTGAGCACAACCGTGATGGCAGATGTCCTCAGAACTGCTATCCACTTTCATGAGTTTTATTTTCAACCAGCGTCCACTTTTATCATAGGATAATTAACTGAAATTGCTGATGTCTACTCTAACTCAAAATACAAATATTTTATTTTCAAATAATTTTTGATAACTTGGGAAACTCTCAAGCACCACCCATGCAGGGGCGGAGCATGGTGTCTCACGGAGAATACAATTTGTAAGACAGATACCTGCCCTCAGGTTAGCAAACGTTTTATTTATTTTTCCACCATGGATCAGACACTATGTAAGCAGTTGGGAATACAAAGATAAGGGCTCAGCTCTGCCTTTAAGGAGTTTACAAATCTGGTGGAGGATAAAAGCATGTACCTAATTATAACCCAGGTACGCAGAAGGTGTTAGAGGAACACAGAGAAGGTACATTTGCCCTAGTTTGGGAGGGTGAGGTAAGACAACCCTGAGAACTTTAAGTTTGGCTAATTTCATGTTTCCCTGTGTTTGGATCACCTATGACTATATGGACAAATCCATTAAAGATAAAGTCAATATCCTTTCATGTTCAGAAAATAAAACATAATCATCTCTGTCTAAACTGGCAAGCACCTTTTAGACACTGTCGTAATACAGTACTAATTAAAATTTAGCCTGAAGGTGGTGGCGGAGTAGGTGGAAGTTACATTCACCTCCTCCCAGGACCAAACTGGAATTACAACTAAAATATAGAACAATCAATCTTAATAAAACTTAGCCTATAATTCTGATAAATCTTAAACATTTACCTAAATATACATGCAGCTCCTAACAATTACCACAGAAATGAACATTACTGTTCTACTTTTGAACAACATACATGAAAGCTCTTCTCAAAGCTAAGAATTAAACTACAAAATAGTATATTTATAGGCTGAACTTCAAATTCTTAAACCCAAACTTCCTTGGATTAGGTGCACAAACATATCTCATAAAAAGCTTTCTTTCCAAACATGTTATGCTTTTTAAAAACATTTTTTTTCTTTATTGACTTTAGAGAAGAGGAGGGAGAGAGAGAGAGAAACATGGATGAGAGAGAACATTGATTGTGGCCGCCTCCTGCGTGCCCCCCACTGGGGATGGGGTCCACAACCTGGGCCTGTGCCCTGACCAGGAATCGAACCGGTGACCTCTTGGTGCATGGGACAATGCTCAACCACTGAGCCACCTTGGCCGGGCGAAACATGTTATGCTTTAATAAAAAAATGTATAATTCAGTACTTAGAACAGTCACAATTTAAGATAACAAAGTCAAAGCTCACCTCCCTTCACTCCGCACGCTTCCAGATACACTGCTCTTATCATTCACATTGCCTTCCCCGCCTTTCCTGCTGGCCGGTTCCCCACACAGTTTGGAGCTGGATACTGCTGGGGAGGCAGGTTCCCCACAGTCTTGTTCTCTTGATTTGGGGGTGCTCACCCCATCTTCTCTCACTTCCCTCACTGACACATCTGGAGAGGTTTGAATTTCTGTCAGAGTCCCTTGTCCTAAGTAATCGTGGTCAGTGATCGCTACCGCGGAAGTGCCATGGTTGGAGGTTCCGGTGCTGGTTCCCATGGACTTGGAAATGACCTTCAGCTTATGTGAGCTTGGTTTGTAGTGCTTCTTTTTGTGTTTAACTTTAGAATTGTGCTTCAGGAAAAACTCACATGACTCCTGTAGAACTCTTCGACTTTCACTGATCGGACTGTAAGAAAACAAGAAGATTTACTTATAAATGTTAAGTAAGTGTTATAGTAGAAACCATAAAGCGTATCACATAGCTGCGCTTAAAGCCCTTATTCAATAAAGTTAAAAATTATAAGATTTATATTATTTACAAAATCTGGGATCATAAATACTATGAGATACAAGTAGATTGCCATGCAGTGAGATCTTTTCTATATACACTGTTAGTTGCTTTTGTCAGCATAAAGAGTAGACTGGTAAGGAAAAAACAAGCAAAATCAAAGAATCAGGGCAAGGAAACGCAAACCAGCCTAACGTAGAGGACTGTGTGTACCATATGTAAGTCTATCAAATATTAAACTACAGTCAAATACTATTTGAAAACACCGCGATAGAGTGAAGCTGCGAAAGTCGAAGCAGAAGTGGGGAGGGACGACTGTGTATAAAGAGAGAATCCTACTTCGTGGAAATGCATTTATCGCGGTGGAGTCTGGGCCCGATTAACCGCGATAAACGAGGGCCGACTGTACACCAGACGAGAGAGGACACAGAATGTGATTAGTGTTCTTTGCTTAAATTCAATTGTTTTCCTTTTGACACTAACGTTAGCAAGTTATACTGAAGTTGGTGTGGGTATATAAACATGGGACATATAATAATAGCGCAAAAATTTTAAAGTCCAGTTAAATACAGTTCTAAAAATATCAAAAACTTATTTGTGAAAAAGTCTACAGTTCTGAAACTTTTACCACATAAAAGTTCATTAATCAAACCAACAGGGAATGGTTTAAAAAACTCTCTTGTACACTGTTGATAGTACATAGTATATAATGCACGTAAATAACTGAAGTGAACTATTCACTCATAAATGTAAATCTATATTGTTTTGAAATATTACTGAAGTTTGAATTTTTACCATCTTAGGCAAGGTAAATAAGTAAAATTTTAACACTGTGTGTAATAAAATTTAAAGGTAAATAATGATCATAATATATCACATTTGAATCATACTTTATAGATTTCCTTAGATATATTTGATCCCATTTAATCTTTTATCATTGATTTTAAAAAAGGATAAAATTATTTAAAGGGCTATACCCAAAATAATAAATCCAATGAAAGCAATAATAATATTGTATATGAGAAGCCATAGAAAAAAAATGCACATTTTATAAATCTTTCATTCATATTTCAATAGAATAGTATAGTATAATAGTCAAAGACTATTATAATGAATGCCAAAGCATCTTTCTCCATGAAGATTTCTAAACTTGAAACAACAGTTGATATAATAAAGCTCCAGTGCAATGATTTAAATAGTTTCTTGGTATTTGAGCTATTTATGTTTAAAACAACGTCAGATAATTCAATAGGTTCTTACTCTCTCTTGCGATTACGTTTAAAAAACCCAGCCCATTCTGTGCATGTCTTTTTGCTTCCAACCCAGAAGACGGCAGAGATGCCAACAATTAATGTCATCAGATATTTTATCATAAATAAAGCCAATTCAGGTCGAGTTTCTGTTTTTGCCTGTAAAAAATAGTGAATAATAAAAACTTCAGTGATACATTGTAAGTGGAGAGAAGTCTATATAGTCAACATAAAACTTGAACAAAAAATATAAATCTTCAGTTATTTTTATTATAAAATATTTGATACAACATATTATATAATGAATAGTGCTTTCAGTGTAATATATTCTTTACCTAAGTTCTGAACAAATAGCCTTATATGTGTGTCAAAATATATAGCCAGAAAGGGAAAAATACTTAAATATATTTAGAAAGGATGTCTTTCCTAATCTTGGCTTTATTTCCTGACCTTTTCCCCGCTAGAAGTATAATTGCCAAATATTTGTCTCTAAATATTTCTCTTTCTCCTTCACTTTAATCTACCACAAAACAAACAAACAACAAAAACGAGAAACACAATTAAATTCCTTATAACAACATACTATTTTAGAATCTTTACACATTGTGGGTGTTTATGTTATAAAAACTTGATTTGTTAGAACAAAATAAGTATAATTAAAGTGAAAACGTAAACTTTTCATAAAATTAATTCACACTTTTCAAGTTTAAACTTTCAAACATTATTGTTTAAATGTTACACAAGTATCAAAATACTATATACATTCTATATTATATTTTCACTTACTAATATTTCTTGGAGACCATTCTATATCGGTAGAAATAGAGCTCTTCATTTATTTTTAGAGGCTATTCCACTGTGTGGATGAACCATAATTTAATCAAGTACTCTTATTAATGGATATGTAGTTTTTTTCAACCTATCGCCATTGCAAATAATGTTGCAGAGACTATCTTTGCATGTATGCAATCATTCACATTTGTGAGCAGATTCACCAATAAATTCCCATAAGGGCAAGATCAAAGAGTATGTGCACTTTAAATGCTAGATACCGTCAAAAGCTTTCCACAGAAGGTTGAACTAATTAAGTAACAAAGTTGTATATTTTGCCAGTTTCACCAACACAATGGCTATAAAACCTTCAGATGTTTGCCAATAGGCATATAATTTTATTATAATTTTAATTTGCATTTCTTACAACATTTTGCACATGTTGAGAGGGTTCCTCTTCTATGAACTCTCTTCATATTCTCTTTTCATTTTTACATCAGATTGTTGTTTTTTTCTTATTAATCTATAGAAACTCTTTATAAATTAAGGAAATTAGCCCTTGAACTATGATGTGATGTGTGAATCACTTCCCCCAGTTGGTTTTCTGACTTTGATTATGGCGGGGTTTTTCTGTATGCAAAAAAAAATTTTTTTGACTTAGTCAAATTTAGCAGTATTTTCTTTTATAGTTCCTGAATTTTATATCATACTTTAAGTTTAGAATTGTCTCATTTTATCTTTCAATACTTTATAATTTCTTTATTTACTTGAAACAATTTTAAAAATCATAGATCTTAAACTTTTTTGGCAGTATCTAATGTTGTATTTTCCTCCTAGTTTGCCAAAAATACTGTGAAATACAGGAAACATTTAATACATTAGGATCACTTTAAGACATAGCTCCCTTTTTATATAGTAAAAACAGCCTACTGGCCCTGGCTAGTTGCTCAGTGGTTAGAGCATTGGCCTGCAGTCCAGAGAGACCTGGGTTTGGTTCCCGGTAAGGGCATGTGTATCAGTTGCAGTTTGTCCCCAGCCCTGCTTGGGGTTGTGTGGGAGGCAGCCACTTGATGTGTCCCTTTCACTTTGATGTTTCTCTCTCTCTCTCTCTCTTTCACTCTCTCTCACTTCCTCTCCCTCCCTCCCACTCTATCTAAACAAAAATGGAAAAATGTCCTCGGGTGAGGATAAAAAAAACAGCTTACTGATACCAGACCGTGGATAGTATATAAGGCATATTCCCACCCATCAGTATTTAAATAGGTTCCACTATGTTAAAATGTAGTAACTTTCTACAATATAAATTATTATGTAAAATAATTCAGCCCACACATTGCTTGATTTGATACGCTATGATGCTCATACTCATAATCAATATAACTTATATACCATATATAAATATTCACCAAAAAATGTATAAAATCTATTAAAACAAAATATTTTCCATTAAAAAACTTCAACTAAAATGCTTTTAGGATGGGGGGGAGAACTCATGGACATGGACAACAGTGTGGGATTATTGGGGGGGGTTGCCAAGACCCGTTCTTGTCTTTTCTTCATTACTATAAATCTGCCTTGCAATCTAATGTAAATTTTAAAATAATAGCTAAAGAAGGGCACTTTTCTATTGTAACAAACTAAAAAAACTTAAGACACTTATCCCAGTTTTAACTGAGGCACAGGGAAGCAATCCTATGTTTACTGGATTTTTCACCTGAAATCTTAATTTATATTCATAACTAATTCAAGTATATTTCCAGAAAACATTTTCTATGTTAAAATTAAATCATAAAACAATACAAATGATAGCTTTTACCTGATAAGGACATGGGATATGGTACTGCCGACAATGGTCGGAGACCCAAGTTATCTCCCAGGTAATTCTGTTCACTTGCTCATAGACGTAACATCCAAGAAGTGTCACTAATGGCACGAGATACAGGCCACTGAAGACTCCAATTCGAATCATAAATTTCTTTAGTTTCTCTTGGTTACGGCCATCATGTTGTATAACTTGTCGAACATGATTTAAGGAAATAATGCCAGCTAAAAGAAGAGACAGCCCGACAAACACACAAAGGCACAGTGGCAACAGTACAAAGTATCGGGAAGCATCCAGGTCATAAAGGCCGACAAAGCAAACTCCACTAATGTTGTCTCCCTCAACTTTGTTCATAGCAAGAAGCATAACAGTCAGAAAACCTGGTATTCCCCACGCAACAGCATGAAACCACACTGCTTTTTGTTCAATGGCTTCACAACTCCATTTTCTTCCTGCAGCTAAGAACCAAGTAATGGTAAGAATCACCCACCACACAGTGCCAGCCATTGTGAAAAAATACAAAAACATAAACAAAACAGTGCAAGCCTTATTTTGAGAGCCTAGAACAACTGTATCACCAACTTCCAGCTTCTCATCTGCTTTATTGCAGGCTGTGCTGTTGCCTAGCAAGAATCCTATAAAATACATAAGAGATACAATGCTATAACAGACAGAGTAATATATAATTGGTCTCTCTGGGTATCTGAATCTTTTAACATCAATTAAAAAAGTAAGGAATGTGAACAGAGTTGCACAAAGACAAAATATTGAAACTATTCCAATAAAACTTTTTGCAAACTCTAGCTCATCACTCTTAAAATACATGTTGGGGCATGGAGGTGCACAGTGGTCAAGTCCCAGGAACTTATAGCTTTGTGCCCCAGAGGTCTTGAGATGCCTTGGACACCAAATTCCAATGTCTCTTTGGACTTGTTCTGTTTTCTTCTGAGGACCAAGAAACTCTGTGTGTGGATCAAGAGTTACAGGAAAAGTCTCATCACAATACTTTAATCTGTAAAGATTATAAAAATTAAATATATAAAGTCAACTTTTTTATTGAGTCACTATTTTAATGCTATACTTTCCAACTATAAAATATTTCCTTATGCATTCAAAACTGATGGGAAGACACACAAACCCATATAGATTACAGTTCGAGTTGGACAGAAGCCTGGGGTGTGGCTCAGTCGCTGGGCATCAATCCACACACCAAAAGGTCGCCAGTTTTATTACCAGTCAGGGCACATGCCAAGGTTTCCTGCTTGATCCCCAGTAGGGGGCATGTAGGAGGCAGCTAATCCATGGTTCTCTTTCCCTCTCCCTTCCTCTCTCTCTAAAATAAATAAATAAATAGAGTTGGATAGTAAGTTTTGAAGTTGACTAAAAATTTGTGGTTGTTAATGGACCCCTAACACACTAACATATATATTTTTTTTTTTTTTTTTTTTTTTTTATCCTCACCCGAGGACATTTTTCGATATTTTGTTCAGATAGAGTGAGAGGGAGAGAGAGAGAGAGAAACATCGACGTGAAAGCGACACATCGAGTGGCTGCCACCCACACGACCCAACCAGGGCCGGGGACAAACTGCAACCAAGGTACGTGCCCTTAGCGGGAACCGAACCCGGGTCTCTCCGGACCGCAGGCCAACGCTCTAACCGCTGAGCCAAACCGGCCAGGGCTATTTAACATATATTAAAGTGAACATAAAATTCCCTTACTTGGAAAACAATCAATTAATACTTTTAAAATGTCTTCTCTCGAGACTAAATATTTAAGAAAAAATTGTTTTGCTTGTTACTCTTCAGGAAAAAAAAGTACTGGCTTGTCTGTTTATAAGCATATGAAATATTAAGCCTTGGGGAAATTAATTTTTATTATCTAATGCTCATAAGCAAAATAAATAAACCACATAAGTAAGGTGATGACTGAAATAAGATCCTTTCCTGGATTGGGAGGGTAAAGTTCAAGTGATTTCTAAGTTATTAAAGGTCAAGAAGATCTCCAAGAGTTAGGCTGAGGACCAGCTTAACTCACGTCACCATTCTGTTTTGGTTTGGCTGTTTGCCTCCCTTGTTTACAGGCATACCTGAATGATACACAGGAATATTTGTTTTGTGTAGAACTTTATCACTGAGTTGAATTCCTACCAGTATTATTCTGAAAGATCTATAAGGTTTAAAAGTGAGTGGGGGTTTTAACGAGAAATCATTTTAAATATGCTTAGGTAAGAATAGAAAATAACAAAATGGCCTGGCCAGTGTGGCTCAGTGGTTGAGCAACAACCCATGCACCAACCACCGGTTTGATTTCCAGTTAGGGCACATGCCCAGGTTGTGGGTCAAATCTCCAGTGGGGGGCATGCAGGAGGCGGCCAATTGATGTTTTCTCTCTGATGTTTCTATCTCTCCCTCTCTCTTCCTCTTTCTCTAAAATCAATAAAGAAAAAATTTTAAAAAATAAAATAAAATGTATGCCCATAAAACAAACACTCAGTATGTACCAGCCTTTTCAAAACTTAATATTATGTCAGTTTTGCTTTATATCTTTTAAATAAAGCAATGTAACATTACAGATAAAGTTGGGACTCTTTTCTAGTTCTATTCTCCTTTCCCTTCTCAGAAATATTCATTATTGTAAGTTTGGTTTTTATTCTTCTCACGTATTTTTCAGTATTCTTACTATGTTATTTTCTAACTATAATCTTACATAGTTGTTTCACAGGTTCTGAACTTTATATAAATGACATCATGCTGTATATATCATACTATAACTTCCTTTTTTACTTAACACTATGATTTTTAGGTTTATCCATATTGGCAGATGTGGGTTAACAGCATTCATTTTATCAACTGTATCGTAGTTATCTACCATATAAGTATATCACAATTTACTAATAATTTTTACAACAGATATTTTTCCCATTTAAAAAATTAGGAATAATGCTACAATCAATATTTTTGTACATGATTCCTTGTTGGTGTAAAAGTCCTATGAAAGGAGATTTCCTAGGATGTAGGGTATGAGCATCTTCAACTTTACTACATACAGTTGACCCTTGAAAAATCTGGGTTTGAACTGCATGGGTCCACTTATATATAGATTTTTTTTTCAGTAAATAGTTTAAGGGTATTTTTTCTTCCTTATGATTTTCTTAATAACATCTTTTCTCTAGTTTGCTTAATTATAAGAATACAGTATACAATACACAATACACATAACATACAAAATATCTGTTAACTGACTGTTTATGTTATTGGTAAGGCTTCTGGCGAACAGTAGGCTAATAGTAGTCAAGTTTTTGGGGAGTCAAAAGTTATGCATGGATTTTCGACTGCATGGGAGGTCTGCACCCCTGACCCCTGAATTGTTCAAGGGCAACTGTATTACTCAATTGTTCTTGAAAATAATTATGAATCTACCAGAAATGTATGAGTTCCATAAAATTTCTTCAGTTTACAGATAAAGAAACAAAAAGGTAGCCAGTTTCCTTCCCAGATTTATTGAGTTCTCATTACATCAATAGAATATTTCAAATTACAAGCTACCATTGTCCAGAGAAAAGGAGACAAAGTAATTAATGAAGACTAATGTGCAAATAGGTCAGTGAACTGATAAGGTTCATTTCCCCCCAGGTAAGGTCAAAGGCACCATTACATGTTCTTATAGAACTATGCACCTCTCCTTTGTTATATCTAAGCAGTTGTAAATTGCATTACTATCTATAATTATTTGATTATTTTCCATAGCTCCCACCCCTTTGTAAGTTCCCTGAGAATAAGAACCAAGTCTATTTTTGCTCACAATTGTGTCCAGGACACTTATCATCATGGTGCCTGGCATACATTAAGGTGTAATAAACATGTGTTGAATCAAATAATGAAAGTCTGTCACTAACATTCTGGAAAGCTAACACCAACATTAAAATACCATTATCATTAGTGTTTTTCAGTTGAAAACCTAATTTACCTGTCACATTTCAGTTCCTCAGGCCATTGGATCCCAAAAGTGTCAATTAATTTTTTGCAATCAGAGTATACCTTCTCACAAAATTTACGACAAGGTGGAACCACATTAATTTGCTCTGTGCAGGTTGGTACAAAAGCTTTGCAAAGGAAAGTTTCAACGTTTGGTGAACATTCCAGATTTGCAAGAGGAAGAAAGAGCTATTAAGAAAATCAGGAAGATATGGTTAGAAAACATTTTAATAACAAGTGAAGAAATTAATTCATTCACTGTTTAAAGTATAGACATGTTCACTTATACTCCAAAAGAATCTTTAAATAGCATTCTCAATATAATCAAATTTTGAGATCATTTTGTTTAGTCTGTTTGACTTAAAAACCTTCAGACACAGTGCAATATTATTTTATTCAATTAATTCATTTTTCAAGAAGACATGATAAATCAAAGCAAATAAAAAACATGAGTTGATTGCTAGGTAAAATAAATTATACAAATGTTCAATGTATACGTATATGCTGAAATACCCTAACACTGTACTGAGTATTCTGGAGAATAAAGCAATTTGGGGGCAGAGGGAACAGCATGAACAAGATGCGAGGATCACGAGAACATGATGCATGCAGGGCGAGAAGTTCAGCATGACCAGACTAGAAGGCCAAAGAGGTGGAATCAAGGGCAGACTGGAGAAGCACGCTGGACTTGATCAGAGAGAGCACGAACGACATGCTAAGTTGCTTGGATTTTAAAATAAAGAAATGAAATATGCCCTGGCTGGTTGTGCTCAGCGGTTAGACGTTGGCCTGCGGTCCAGAGAGACCTGGGTTCGGTTCCCACTAAGGGCACGTACCTTGATTGTGGTGGGTCCCTGGCCCTGGTTGGGTCGTGCGGGTAGCGACCACTCGATGTGTCCCTTTCACGTTGATGTTTCTCTCTCTCTCTCTCTCCCTCCCACTCTATATGAATAAAAAATGGAAAAATGTCCTCAGGTGAGGATAAGGAAAACAAAAGAAATGAAATATTATTGGAGAGTTTTAACCAGGAAGTGGCTCTAGAGTGTCACAGCTGAGTGTGAATCCTAGGTCCACACTTACTGGCTGTGTATCTTTGGCAAGTTACTTAACTTCTGCATTTTAGTTTTTCCATTTGTAATAATAATAATAACTGTCTCATAAAATGTTGTGAAGACTACGTCAATAAACGTAAGCATTCAGTAAACGTTAACGTGATGATTACATTTCAGAGCGCAGGGATGGGTCCTGGAGAAACATGGTATATTGACCACATGTGTCTATCTTCTTTCCCTTGTTTCCTCACTAAAATGACAATACAGAAAAGAAAAAGGTACTAATCCATTAGTAAGTGAACAGGAGAGACTACATTATTGTATTTGAGTTTTCCAAGGAACAAAAACATCTAAAAAAAAAAAGTCCCAAAACGTTGAATGACAGAAAGCTATTAGAGGAGTGAGAGGTAACTTAATTGGACATGGGGGTGGATTACAAAGTAGGAGGGCAGCGATTCACAGGAGAATGAACTGATTTGCCCTAAAGAATCTGAGAGTCTCAGTTCTTCCAGGTACCAAATAGCATAAAAGGCTAAAACTGAGAGAATATTTACAAATCGGTTCTTCTCTATGTTATCCCCCCACCTCCACTCCCGACAGCCAGATGCCCACCAAATTCTACCAGGGTTGTTTCCAGGAGAAATCGAGCAACAGATGTTCTCGCGCTTGAGCTACCTGGCACAGATCGGAGCAGAGATACAGCACAGAGTGAAAGGAGGTTAAACTGAGTAACAAACAGTCTAAGAAAGCACGAAGCCCTCATCCTTTCCCTGCCCTGTTCCCAAAAGGTTGGCAGACAGGCATATACCACCATCGGCAATCTTTGAAAAACCTCAACTGTCTTGGAGGAAGAAACCTATACATATTGACAGTGAAAAAGCTTGAGTTCACCTTACTATGAAGCCCACCAGTAACAAGTCCCATTATTGCACAGGGAGCTTTTCAATGCACACAAATATAAATGGGCAGCCAAGAATCATCATGCATTTGAATAAAGCCTTATGAGAAACAGAGACCAAAACAAGCAAGCAGATAAAAGGAAATCTAGAGGAAACAGATTAGGCAAGGGACAGACGAAAACAAAACAAAATAAACAAAAATGTTAATAACTTAAATGAGAAGCTACTGCATTCCTTTAAAAAGAATAGGATGCTGTGGAAAATTAAAGTAATATAGGTAAAATGAAGAACTCTATACAAGGATTAGAGAACAAAGCTGGCATCACACTTTCCAATGCTATGACTAAAACATTTCTGGGGTAAAACTTCAGTCAATTAACTTTCTTTGAAAGAGATCTCTCTCACATTCTCCTCTCTTATCTAACCCCCAATTCCACACTCCATGCTCTCACTTGATGATTTTGTTACTAGTTCACTGAGAAGACAGAAACAACCAGATAACTTCTTCCACTAACTAAATGTACCAACGTAACTGCAGCTTACTGCCAGTCCCTACCTTCTGCTTTACAATGGATGAACAGCTTGAACTCCTTCCTAATCAACCAGGTCCTCCATTTGTATACTGGATTCTCCCCACTTGACTAGCCAAGGGCTTTGTTTCTGCAATTGCCTCTTATTCTGGCAATAATTTCCCTGTCTATGCTACAGTGATTCCTCCATCAGACAAACTTGCTCTATTATCTCCCACCATAAAAAAAATACCACAAAACAATATTTTTCCTTGACCACATCCCAACCCCCATCCAGCCACTGTTCCATTTTCCTATTCCCCTTAAGAGAAAACTCCTCAAAATAGTTGTGTAGCTCACTATCTCCAACTCCACTCTTCCCATTCCCTCTTGAGCCCACTCTCCAATCAGGTTTTGTCCCCCCACTCCGATGAAAAGTGCTTTCAAAATCACCATATCTCCTCACTGTCAAATCCAATGGGCAATTCTGAGTCCTTATCCTTTTCAAATCTTAACATTTGACAGAGTGGACTGCCTTCCTTCTGAGATATTTTTACTGGCTTCTAGGATACCAGTTCCCTGGATTTGTACCCATTTCACAGGCAGTTCCTTTTCCGATCCTTTTCCATTTCCCAATTAGAAATAATGAAGTGCCCCAGAGCGCAATCCTCAGACCTCTTCCCAATCTATGCACACTTCTCAGGGGAAACTCATCCAGAACCATGGCATTAAATACCAGCTATACATAAAAGATTCCCAAATTCATCCCTGGCCCTCAACTCTCCTGTGAGCCCTAGACTTGAATGACCATCAGACTCCAGGACAATTCCACATGCTGTCACCATGCATCTCAAACCCATGTGCAAAACACAACTCAGTCCCACTGCCTCCTATCCCCCAAATATCCCCCTAGTCTCCCCATCTCAGTGGTGGTGCCACCATTCACCAAGTTGCTCAGGCCAAGAATCTAAAGATTCGTTTACTCTTCTCCTTCCCTTACCCCATATCCAATCTATCAGCAAATACTGTTCATTCTCCCTTCAAAATATATTTCAAGCTTAACATTTTCCCACTATTACTATCCAGTCTAAGCCACTACATCTTTCACCTAGACTACTGAGATAATCTGCTAACAGGTCTCACTACTTCCTACTATTGTTAATCTTACAGTCAATTCCCATACCAATCCATACTCCCACCAAGGTGATTCTTCAAAATGTAAGTCTTAAAAGATTAACATTGTTCAAAAGACTCCAACAGAATAAATTTCAAACTCCTTACCAAGTTCTACCAGGCCTTGTATTTCCTGGCCCCTGGTTGTTTTATTTCCTGGCACTGTTTCTCTTATTCACTCCATTGCCACCAAACTGGCTTTTTGCTTCTCATCATTCCAAGTACATTTTTATCTCAGAATCTTTGTACTAATTGTTCCCTTTACCTAGAACACTCTTCCACCAGTCAGTCACATGGCTTGTGTCCTCATTTATTTAGGTCTCTGCTCAGCTGTTGCCTCAGAGTCATTCCCTGCCCACTCTATGTAAAAAATTATCCTGTCATTCTGTTCCATTACACTGTTTTGTACTTCTTTATCATTACCTGACATTTCATTAATACTAGTTTATTTTTTAATTTCTGCCTTCACCTCTAGAATGTAAATTCCACGAGAGAAGAAATTTTATTTATTTTGTTCTGTTATATCCCCAGTGACTAGAATAGTGTGTGCATATACATATATATTTCACTATAAACACTTATTGAAAAATTGAATGGCCTGGCCAGTGTGGCTCAGTGGTTGAGCATTAACCCATGCACCAAGATATCGTCGATTTGATTCCTGGTCAGGGCACATGCCCTGGTTGTGGGCCCAATCCCCAGTGGGGGATATGCAGGAGATGGCCAATCGATGTTCTCATCAATGTTTCTATCTCTCTCTCTTTCTCCCTTCCTCTCTCTCTCAAATCAATAAAGAAAAAAAAATTTTTTTTTTAATTGAATGACTTCAGAACAATGAACAATGACAAGGTATATCAATAAAAAATTTCAGAGGATCGTGATAAAGAGAAGATCATAAATGTTTCCAGAGAGAAAAAACATATCACATGCAAAGGGATTAAATTTTGAATATTTATAATATCAGATATTATCTAATACTATCTGATATTATCAAACATGAGGAAATAGCTCTAATATTCTGAAGGAACACTGCTTTCAACCCAGAATTCTATACCCAACTAAACATTATGACCATTTTGACCCTGTAAAAAAAAAATCACTTTTTAGGAAGCAACTATAGGATGTAGTATCCCTGAAACAAAGTGAAGTAATATATGAATATAGCAGGAAGAACAATGACACAGGACTCAGGAATTAGCTAATCCAACACTGGATAATGACAAGAGGAAGCCTCATCACGAAGCTATGTATCTAGTCCCGAAGGCAGTCAGAGCATATTAATAGGACAGACAGCTGAAGGAGAAAGGTCTTCAAGAGGATGGAAGTGTAGAATTAGAATGCCAGAGTATATATTTTGAGCATTTGGGAAAATTGCTGCTAAGAGTCTGACAGGCCTGTTGGGACATCTGGAAAAAAAAAATTAGCAATAGGTACATAGGAAAAAAAAAGGGAAAAATGCATTACTGCATTAACTATGAGGCAAAGTTACTAAAGAAATTAATGCAATCAAAGTATAGTACTTGCCTCTGTAGTATACAATATTTAATATTCCTAGT